CTGTGATGGGGGTTAGAGAGAAGGGCCAGTTGTGCATGTTGCACTTGTAAAGCTATGAACCAGAGGGCTGCTGGATACCTTCTTCAGCACCTCTGGCCCAAACTGGGAGAGAAAAAACAGTGTGGAGAAAAAAGGTTGTGAATCTTGTCAAACCTCTTCTACAGATAGGAGTGTACAAGTACAAGTTTTTTGTTACAAGTATATTGTTAAATGTAAATTGTTATGTTATTTAAAAAAATGACTAAATAACTTAGTCTGTTTAAACATTATGTTCCTTTCTAATCTTAGCTGCGTTTCACTATAGTAAAATATGGGCATTTGAAGAAAATATTTCATTATTAAAGATCCTTGCAATTATGTTTTAGAAGTGCCTTTTCCAGCTCTGGCTCTAATCTATTAAGAGAAGTTACCTTTTTATTTTTTCCAAAATAAAACTGTAGTAATTAGATACTGTATTTAACCATGTGAAAAGAGTAAAAAGCTATTTCTACGCAGTTTCTGAGGTAATAAGCTGGCATGTTAAAAATATATTAATGCAAGTCATTCAGTTATGAGCGTGTCCCTTGCCCATCTTCCCAAAAAGAGGCGATGGACACCCTGATTTCAGTAAAGTGGAGAATAAGTATGTGGCATACTGGTTGGTACACTGTATCATAGTTCATCATGGTTTCTTGTGAGGTCCTCCCCATAATTAGTAGCTTGACTTCCAACAAACATATTCCAGTTGTCTAGAACCTCCTCTTTCGTTAGTTTTTGATCCTGGTGGGAGAAAAATAAAATCTCTGTAACAACATTTTCAAAGCTAAGTAAAAGACACACCAGCACCGACTTGTCTGGGAAACAGACAGTTCTTCAAAGCAGCAGACTGCAGGTTCAGGACTCATTGTAGCTGTCATGGTGAGTGAAATTTGGACCCCAGTGGAAGACAGAAGTCCCACTGGCTTCAGCTGGGTCAAACTAATTGAAAGTTCTTTGTAACTGACTCACTGCCAAACAGTTTATGGGTTATCCCATATGCAGTTTTACCCTGTGGTTTGGTTTTGCCTTCCTGACAGTAAAAATGTTGCTTAGGTTAGCAATTTACACACACTCTGTGTAAGCGTTTTGGCTTTTCAGGTTCCAACTTTGCTCATATCACACTTCTGAAGATCACCATCTGGGATCTACTGAAACATTAATCTCCCACATTAGAGGAAGTGGACATACTGAGCCAGTCTTTAAGTCGAAGATGTATGTTTGATTGTTTTTTGCTACCTCCTTTGTAATGTATCTTTTATTTTTCTCTTGCAGTCTAAATTAGCATACAAAAGCCATGACCATTCTTAAAAGGAAAAAGAGTATTTCTACTGTGTTAAAATTTCCAGGTTTAAGATGATAAATAATTTCTTATCCTAATGAAAGTCAAGGGGACTTCTAGAGCTGATAACCTGTATTTTACTACTTTTCCTTTGTGATTCTAACCCTACCAACTGAAACTGGCATTGATACATTAATGCACTAGCAATTCTAGCCTCTAAAATTCCATTTAAACTGTACTAATAAGAAAATTTCTTGCAAGCTGGTAAGTTAAAAAAAAAACAACCAACCCACACTATCTTATATAACTTTTTTAAAACGTATACTAGCACACAAAGTACCTTGTCTACATCCGATTCATAGACTAAGTGCCTGGCTTCAGCTAGTGCGTGATCATAGTCTTGCGGGAGAATCCAGTGCTGAATCTCTTCTTTGTCCATCTTTCCATCCTTGTTGAGGTCACGAAAATCTGAAAACTGTTCACGCTCTGTAATCACCCAGTCAGGCTCTGGTCCACCCTCTTCATTTGCAAACATATCAGCTGGAGAGGAAATAAAGGTCTCACTTGAGTCATTGTTAATTTTCAGACTACGCACAAGCTAAAGACATTTGCACAGTGTTCCTCAGAGGAAGACTAAACTTTTTACTCTCTGCACAGCGTTTCTTTGTACTGAAAATGAAGTGTGGGGTGTAAACAGAGTAGCTGCGTGTTTCTTCTCTCAGACCTATTCCTTCACTGCTGGTGATTCTGTCTATTCTTACATTATCCTTGTATTGTAACTGTGCACTGCTGGTGAGGCTAATGTGAAAGGTGAACCTATCCAAAGGCCATCATCCACTGAATTTCAGAATGAAAAAAATTCTTTAAGGATCTTTAGTTAAATAGTGCAGGGCTCATTCACATGGAGAGCAAGGAACTCGGCAATTTTATCTTGTCTCTGCCAGCAAAGACTCTGTCTTTGTGGACAAGATCAGACTCCAGCCAACAGAGTGGTTAACGAGGGAAAACAGGCACAGGGGAAATTTAGGAAAACAAAAATTTCTAAATGGAACTGGAATGCTTTTGTCCTGCTTTTAGAGAGGTCTGTATAAGAGAAATTTATCTTAGTAGATGAGTCCTTTTTTAACCATGCAGTGCTGCAGCACACTCTACTTAGAAGGTATGCTTCTAGAAAGAAAGACCTGGAGAAGTCATGAATCAGTGGTACGTTCTGTGTGAGAAACCACAGGCAGTGCACTTGTCAGATTGGTTCCTTGGGATAGAGTACCATTTGTGACACAGGATGCATAGATTACATACACGAGCTGTTCTGTACATCAGTCCTGTGCTATATTTAAAAAGCATCGGTAGGAGAATGCCACAGTGGCAGCAGCTATCTGTATGAACAGAGTTGGGAGAGTAGCAGTGATTATTAAGAGCAAATGATTTCTATCTGTTCTTTACAGCATAGGCCTTCCAAATTATGATTAGTATGTCTACTTTATTCTTCTGGTCACGGTGGACAATCAATTGCTTCCTGCTAATCAGGGCTGCTTACTCCTCAAGCCTTGCAGTTTTCTATTTATAATTAAAACATGCTTTGTGATACTATGCCTTCTGGGTTTGGTTTTCAAGGATGTGCTAAGGGAAAGTGCACCCTACAAGGATGGTCTCAGGGCCAGAGGCTGGCTGGTATCTATAGGAAGTATAAATGCTGGTCTCAAACCTGAGAATAACCTCCTCCCACCCTTCAGTGGGAGCATGTACACTACGCTGAAGTTCTCTATTGGTAGAACTGTTCACAATGTTCCTGAAATATTCTGTTACCTGTTCATGAACAGTAAGAATTTAGTTTTCTCTACTTAATGTGACTAGGGATATTTTCCTTTGCTGCTTCTGCAAAATCTAAACCAAACTTTGTAAAAGACAAAATATGAGGAAGGAAGGAGGAGAAGGAGGAAGGGAATCATCCTATAACTTTCAGCAGATTTCCCCATCAAATGCCCAATCTAGAGACTGAAATTTTTTTACATCGTTTTGTTGTTCCTCATAAACTACTAAAGAAGAGATTTGGTTTTCTGTTTGTTTCCTTAACCCCAGCTTGATAAAAAATAAAAAATACTACATCTGAAAAAGGGAAGCAGGAATATTTTAAGGGAGTATTTTAAGCACAGTTTTCCTCAATTCCTGAAGAAAACTTCAGACACCACTTTCACTTTCTTTTTTCATTTTTTAAAGTGCAAATTATATTGTTTATTTGAAGCAACTGACATGTCCTGTCAATTTGATTTTTATTATCCTTGCCAATGTGGGGTGATCGTGACTAGAACATTCTATGTTCCTATCTATAGAAGACAAGAAAAACCAGCATTCACATGGTAACAAATGTTGACAATTACCTTATAATTATATGTAGGTAATGTCACTGAATGAACTGAAATTACTGTGGAAATTATGCTGCTCTGTTATTTCAGTCATAAATGAATAGCATTCACATTCTGAGGCTAAATATAATTTACAAGGAATAGAAACCCCCTGCCATTAATTAATGTGTGTATATTGTTCCTGATTATATGTGAAGTGATCTTTATAGCACCACTAGAAACAGAAAGATTCATCTGAGTTTACGCTAATGCTTTCCTGGTGCTACTTTCTTCACTTAAAACCCATCAAAGTGAGTGCAGTGGGAGAAGTTAGCTTTTGCTATCAGCATAATGATTCAAAAGGCTAAAACGTATTATGTACTGCCGATCTCCAGCGCTGCTTCCGTTTTGCCTTCATAGGCCTAAGTGCAAGACAGCAGCTAACTGCCTAGTGTGACTGAAGTTTGTGCAAATTAACTGTGACTGATCTACTGTTGATGTTTCACATTTTGTTCTCTTACTGCTGCTGAAGTAATGCACAGCTGACTTTCACACACTTCACAACTTCTTTGAGAATATTAAATCTTAGTGCTATTTTTACACAGTTCATTTTTAATGCATCTTATATTTCTAGAAGAAAAATAATGGCATCACCATACAAATCATTACAGAAGTATGGGGTTTTCCTTACTAATTAAATTAGGAAAATAACTTGTTGGAAAAGGTGAATTGTCTTTTTTGCAATGTGTGCTTCCCAGTTATTTTGCATATTCAAGTATCATTCAAACTTGGGAAGAGACCAATTCACTTTCTGATCCTCTTGCATTTACATACAATGCCTTAAAAAAGCTGTTAATGTGGTCAAGTATACAGAGAGTATTCCTGTCATGAAAAACATTATTCCAGACCCTCTTGGCCAAATTTTATTAGAGTAAGAGGAGAATCTTACGCTGCAAAGTGTGAAGAACCTTTTGCTGGTGATGTTGCTATCTACCTAAAATGAAACTAAACTTTCTGGGTTGAATGGTTGGTTTAAAATAGTTGAAATGGAGCACAGAACATTCATCTTTGCGTTGTTACTACTGCTGCAAATTTGAGAGAAGGTGGACAAAAGGACTGGAGATTATATAAGAAACAAATCTCAAAACTTACCGATGTACTCATCTTGATCCACAAAACCATCCTCGTTTTTGTCTATATCTTCTAAGGTTTCCTGGAAAATAGTTTTGCATCAAAGTAATCAAGAGAGAACTGAGAATTCTGGCTACTCACCTCTTCGATCATTTCATGTTTTGAGGCCTTGACCTGCCCTTGTACACAGGCAAATGTACTCTCCCTGACTCCAGTGTGATTGTTGTTTATACAATGAATATACAAATACCCTTTCATGTTGAAAAAATTCCCTGCATGAATCAACTGGACAGCATGCTTAAGTTTTAAGTTAGGGGCAGAGAGAAGCATGCATCAAACACTTAGCTGCCACATGTCAGCATGCCCTTCTTTTTATTTTGGTGTAAGTCTGTGGCCCAAGACTGTTTCTTGATTCCATTTAGGAGCTAAGTGTATTTAACAAGTCATTCTTATACTGAGAGCTCTAAATCAAGTGAATTTCATGGAAGGCATCCCTTTCTGTTCCCCACTTGGCTATTATGTGTGTCTCTCTAAACCCTGCACGGAAAGGTTAGAGAAGCATTTCAAAGTTCATTCAAAAAATAAAAGTAAAAATAATGTCATTGGGTTTGCTCTGCTTACTAAGACGACGATGTTTTTCATATGCTCAAACTCCTCTGGGTGAAGGAAAGCAGTGAATTCTTCACGAGTGGCAGCTAAGTCTCCATCCAGATCTGCAGTTTTGAATCGTCTTTCATCTCTGGGCAGCATTTTTTTAAAACTGTGCTGATCAGTTGCATCTTGGAATTCTTCTGGATTTTCTGCAAATTTACAAAGACAATCTCAAAAATTATGTTCCTTTTAAAGCATATTACCGTAATGAAGTACTCCAATTTGCTGTTAGAGTCTAGAAATACAAAGGCTTACTGCCAGAATAGCTGCTGTGTTAAAATGGAACTTCTCTTCCCTTTGAAGTTTCAAATTCAGAGGTCAAGCACTTGGTTTGACTCTTAAAGGTGACCTAGTAGTATTGGTAAATGTCTGAGTAAGCCTTCTGTTGGAATCCAGGATAATGGATTTTGCAGTAGTGTGTATTATTCTTCATAGATATTTTTTATTTTTTAAAAAATCTGCTTTTATAAGCACTGCTTAGGCAGTATTTAGGGTAAATTTCATTCACAGAAGTTTTATTCTTCTTAGGAATCAGTATGATGTACATAACTTTTCAGTTTTAAAAAGCAAGTAAACCGAAGAAAAGTCATTTCAGAAGCTGGCAGACTGACTGAAACTATCTCACTACTGCACCTCTGCTACAGGGAACGTAACAATTATTTTCAGTTTAAAACAATGACATTTTTTCAGGGTGTTCAGTGGCATAAAAAAGAAAGCTATTTGATATAATTTTTAAAATAGGATCACTAAACTGACTTCAAACATGAAAAATGCTCTCAATAATTTCACAATTCACAGGCTGGGAGAAAAACACAGTTGAAAAAGACCAGGCCAGGTATCACAGATACAAATTTTAAGTGTGCATTAACACAAGACCACAATGTAGTAGCTTTTCTCCAAATTTTGGGGATTACAGAGAGCAAAGACAAAGAACTGAGAAGGGCTCCCAGGGATACTACTGCAGGGATTGTGTCTCAAGTATTTCCTTCCACAAATGTAATAAGCTCCATTTTAATCTAAAGTAGACTTTGTACTTATTACTTCTACTGGAAGCTTGCTCCAGAAACTGCCTCTACGGTAGGTAGATATTGTCTTCTCATTTCCAGTATAAATGGTCAATTAATAACAATTCGTTGTTCTGTCAGCGTTGCCCTTTAGCTTAAGCAATCTCTTCTCCTCCTTTCCCTTCATTAACTTATAAAAAGAAAAGGGAACATACTGGGGGTGGGGGAGAAGATTCAGGTATATTTTTTAATATGTACTTCTTTTGCCTGATTTGTTAAGGATTTTCCTTTGCAGTTGATTGCAGTCTGAAGCATGTTATTCTGCAGGAACTTTGCTATAGCTTAGACCAAGCCCAAATTTTTAGCACCTAGGCTCTTTAAGATTTTAGAGAGACTGCATTAACAAATACTGGTTAATTATGCAATATAGTATTTTTTTAATGTTAAAAAAAATATATATTTCTAACTAGAGGAGACTTGAATTCAGCTTTGTCAGTACATTTAATAATCCCTCCACAAAACCTCCTGTGTGCTAGTGACTCATGTGGAAATGGCTGCAATACTAAGAAGTGCGTTTGACCTCTGAGCATCTATAAAATTTAATGCGATTTTCAAGAATCCTAAACATGATACCAAACTCCTGTTGACCGTAAGTCATGAAATCATGCCTTATAATCTCAATAGTCTTTTGAGTATATAATCTGAAAATGTTATCTTACCTAGATAATAACCATATGTGGCTTGTTTGTATTCTTCCCAGGCAATTTTATTGTCCTTGTTTAGATCATAGTCTTTCCAAACTTTAGCTACGTTTTCATAGATATAGCGTTTCTGCACACGTTTAATCCAGTTTTTTAATTCCTCTGTTGTGAGATAGCCATCTTTGTTGTCATCTATTCTATCCACAATCTTCCTGTAAAAAGAGAACAGAATACTTAAGAGCTGACAGAAAAACAAACTGCATGTCAGTCCAATTTTGGTAATCTTTATCTGGCCCTCGTTTTCCACAAAAACACAGTGCCTAAAACTTACAACGCTGCCCTGCTGGCTAAGGCTTTCTTGCATTTTGCAGATTATCTTAAGGGATATGTCTCTATTCGTTACTCAATATTGCGATGAATAATTGAAATGGAACTTGCACAATCAAAATTAATGAACAAAGTACCTCAGGTAATACCTGGATTTCTTAGGTTGTAACTAACTTAGAGGGACCTGTTCTTCCCTGTGGATAAGGAGTGGCCATGCTGGGCTCAGTAGGAGACACTGACTTCACCCTGAGAGAAAGCCTTTACTGCAGCTTGCTGGAGGCAATCAGGGTAAAATGCTAGGATTTCCTGGACACCTGCAGTTTCTCCTGTGGCTTTCCAGCAGACTGATGCTAGGGTGGAGCAAGCTATATGACTGTGTAATGCTGGGCATGTACAGTTTGTACAGTCTTCCCTTCCACTCCGGTTCCTGCACTTCTGTTTCCTTTCTTTCTTTCCCAGTAAAAAGCACTATTGCCAGGAATCCCTTTTACTCACTCAAGTAACAGCTAGTCTGCAGCAGGTCTCCAGTCACTGCTGGCAGTTGGGCTACAAGCCACTGTCCTGGGTAAAGCTGCCAGCCTCAAGACATGTTGAAATCAGCAGGAGTGAAGGTATTGGCGTACTCCCAGCGAAACTAGCACCTTCAAGAAGTTCTGCACACAGCTACGGATAAAACCAACCTGAAAAACTATGGTAAAAAAAAAAGGGAATGCTCTCCTCTAGTGTACTCCCAGCGAAACTAGCACCTTCGAGAAGTTCTGCACACAGCTACAGATAAAACCAACCTGTAAAACTATGGTAAAAAAAAAAAGGGAATGCTCTCCTCTATTTAAGTTCTCCAAATAAATCTCTGAAAGTATGCCTGTAATTGCTAAACTCCACTAGTTTGGGTTTTAGCTTCTAAAACTGGCTTCTGTCCCAGCTACAGTGCTAGACCAGATGATAAAAACCTTCATCTAAAATAAGAATGCAGCTTTAATCCCACAATTTGTAGGTAAGCTTATTATGTTCTGGGCACTGACCTGTGGGAAACTATGTATCTTGCTCTTGGAACTGGGGCAGTTACCACCATGTTTCTTCTGCGCATCCAGATTGGCTTCAGGCACATCAGCTGTTTTAAGCCTTGTATCACTGCTCACGAGGTACAGAAGCAAACTGTCTGTAGTTGCATTGCACCTAGTTCAGTGACCACCCGGTGACCAACTTGAGATAATCTAAATGACCATTCCCCTTAGGCTCAATCACCACGCTACGGACTAGTTATGTGTTGTTTGTAAAGAGCGGTAAAAGCAGGAGTTGACTTGATTTGTCTAAACCCTGACTTGAGATGCAACAGGTGAGCTCCCTAAATCTCCAGGAAGCCAAGAGGCACAGGCAAAAGTTCTGCACTTTTAAAGATTCTTTGCAATTCAACATCTTTGTTCTCCACAAAGAAACTGACCCAGGCCAACTGGAACTGCTCATCTAGTGAAGCAATGTCTTTTCCTAAGCCTTAGTTATGGAAGTAGTAAGTAGAGTCAAATAACAGCGGCAGCTTCTGCTGAACTTCCAGCAATCTTGTGGGAGTCTGATAGTATCAGACTGAATTTATAAACATGCTATTTCTGAGCTATGGGGCAGAAAAGGGGACTGCTGAATTTGCTTTCTGAAGTAGTAAAGTATGAGTTAACTGACTGCAAAACCTTTTCTCTTTTGTGTAAATCTCATGGCAAACTGACTGCCAAGTGTCCCTTTCACTGCACGACAGACTGTATTTGTCAATAGACTTGCCCCACAATGAATTTTATTTAATTGGTTTAGTTGGTATTTCTTTCTGTTGTTGAATGTATTAGTTATAATAAATGATTCTGCTAGTAGCTCTTTGGTGTTTTTAACACAAAAGAAGTCAGGACTGTTTACCAGAAAATGTTTCATGCCTCTTCCTTTTCACCTGTACTCTTGTTTTTATAGGTCCATTGCATTCATGTGAACTATTTCACTCTGCTTCCCAGTTGAAGATAACGATAAAGAAATAGTCTTGCTTACAGGCTCCCATGGGTAAGAAGCTACTGTATAGACTGTGGACCTCACTTTTTATACTGATAATTACCTGTAAAATGGCTCAGGATCATTCTAAGTTTTGTAGCAGAGCTAGTGTACATTGGTTAGTCTGAGAAGCCTTAGTGTTTTTATTTCAAATAGTTAATTCCTGAATACAGCAAACATTCAAGAAACACATTAACAGACACAAAATACTAGCTCATACACAGGAATTTACATGCACAAGTGTGTAATACCTGAAAGCTTACTTTCTCCCTTTAACTTAGGTGGGATTGCAGTTGATATTAGTTTGCCACCTCACAATAAAGAAGCTAGAGGGCACATGCAACAGGTACGTACAACCTATTACAGAGATTCAAGCTGCCAGTCTGCAAAGACATCTGGTGATGAAATAAAGTTGGGGCAAGGAAATCATTGCTACGAAGTGGCTGAAAGAGGAAGGCCTCCCCTCTGCATCTGATGTGAGTACAACTGTATGTTGATAAACTCTGGCCTTGGCCTGTATAAAGAGCAGAAACATTAATATTGTGAGGACCTGTAACCATCTTCTATGTTCTCTGAAAATGACAGGCCTATTACAAATGGCAGGGGAAGGTCCAGAGGACTGCAGCCCCACTCCCCTCCTTCTTAGCCCACCTCAGTCCCTTAATACAGTCCTTGGATGCTGCACCAGGATGAAGTCATGCTCCTCCAAAGCCAGGTGAGTTGTGGTACTGCGCATGGGTGAGAAATGTATGATTCTTCCCTTGTCAAGTGATCCAGTGTGGGAGGACAGGGAGAAGGGATGCCCCTGCCATGGAATCTGTCATAAGGGCAGATGCACTCCCAGGTCATGACACACTTATGGGGCAGTATATGTCCTATATATAATAACATATCTCAAACTAAGATCATACTGTGCAGCTGCTCCTCCAGTGAGGCTGCAGGTAGTTGAGTTTGCAGAGCTTTTCCTGTATACTAGCTTGTTCCTTTTTGTTTGCCATAAGAAGGTGAGAGTAGCTTCGCATTACTGCTGACTAGCCCTGGGATTCCAACCCCAGTTGGGATGACCAATGTGCTGCCACCCTTCCTAAACAAGGTAAAATGACTTACAAATGCAGCAGCATGCACTTTGGTTAGAGCAGCAGACTATATGTTCCTGTTTTCTCCCAGGAAGCATTGAAAAAGAGCTTTTCATTAAGCGTCTTCTTCCTAAAAGCCATTCACTTGCTAAGAAGTGACTCTTTGTAATTCTCACTGCAGAGGTTGCCCACAACAAAAATGTTTTTCTCTGTATATCTGATTACTAAACCACAATAAAAAGAAGGAAGTGAAATGCTTTAAGATTTCTCTTTCTCCTTTACCTCCCAGTATGATATCTGAAATTACGAGGTTAGGAAATGCTGAAAGTTACAAAACTGTCTCACAGGGCCCCCCATGAACCACAACTCTGATGTTCTGCTGCACAATGCTGACCCCACAATGTGGGCTTTGGTCCTCAGACAGACGCTTGAGTCACCTCCATTTAAAGGTTATTGACTGTGGTTGTAGCTTAACATGCCAAGGTGCACACAGTGAGATCACTAAAAGTTAAGCTCCCACCCTTGCTGAGTTAGTGTTTTTAAAAACAACTCTATTGTTAAATCATAACCCCAACTAAAATATCTGTATTTGTGTCAGAAGTGTAGACCAATTTTTAAAAGGCATGTACATTTCAGTGATACAGTTTATGAGAATCAAAGTCATAAATCATGTATGTTGAGAACATGGTTTCTCCTTGAAACAATATGGATGAAATTGGTCATTTCTGATAACCGCTTTATCTGTTTATTCACTGAGATACAGGTATATAGCAGTGACAGCTTCCAGAAGGATCAAGAGGTCAGTCTGTGAGATAACAGCCATACTACACTAACAAGCTTATGATGGAACTAGACAGACATACAATGAGTAAGTACCACTCCCTATGGAAGGGGAGTAAAGGCAAAGCTAATCTTAGTGAGAACATGCAGATAATTTAAACTATTTTCTTGTTAATAAGTACATAAAAGGATCTTTCTTTAACTACTGTTAAAGTTAGTTCTAATTAATGATCTGACTCCTTGTATAGATGTAAAGGAGAGAGAAGCAGTAAAATACAGCAACTGTTGCACGGACTCTGTTTTTGGCGTAAAGAGCTGCACGGAAGCGAGAGCAACACTGTAAGACAGCGGGCAAGATGTCACAAGTGTAAAAGTTGTGGGAAGATGGTTTCAAGTGGACTTGTAAATGGTGCTGCGAAGAAGGAATGGTTTAAACTCGATTCAAACTCATACAGTCCAGGCATACGACCCAGAGGTAAGGAGTTGTAGCTGCAAAGTCCTCCAGCAGTGGGTGAGGTCTGTCCAACACCGGGCAGAGCACCACACACAGCAACTCCTCCACGAGGCTTATTGCTGTAGGACCAGAAAATGCAGGAGAGAAAAACGCCGAAGTGATGAACTGTTGGTTGCTCGTTTCCAAAACCAGCGGGGTGTGAAAGAAGTGTAACGGAAGAGTTACCACCGGCTCCCC